TATGTATAAGATGCCCCTTTTGAGTACTATCTTATTCTTGCAGCTTCCTCTCCTAGTATGCGACTCATCCAATGACGACTGTCTTCAAAGCAGGAGCACCAGAGTGTACAAGGATGGAGATGTGGTGATCGGTGGTTTCTTCTCCCTGTACACCTGTTTATACTTCACGGGTATGTCGCATATAAAGCCGAGCAAGGACTTCCTTATCGTTGAGTAAGTGCCTTTTTGCATTTATTTATTTTTGCTTGATAACCAGGGTCAGTAATGCCTGGGGTTTGTGAATGGAAGGATCAGTACTCTCTGTATTCCTATCCTGTCCTTTCTGTGCTCGCTCAGAACTGTCCATAATTTCATGTTGTTTGGTTCTCTTTTTCATTTTCTAAAAATAGGAGGAGATATTTTTTCATATTTTAGCTTCTCTTTCTCCAAATTTAGATCACAAAGGGGGCAACATCTTTCACCTTATTGTATTTTATACATGCTCTATTGTACCTGACTCACCACTGCATGACATTAATAGGTCCCCATTATACATGCCATCCAAGTGCTGGATTGAACCCAGTACTGTAAGATGGAAGTAAATGTCCACGTTCAATTTTTTTTTCTGGTACCAGGAATCAAACTCCTGATCTCATGCTTGCCAGGCAGGCACTGTGCTGCTGAGCTAAATCCCCAGGCCTAAATGTCCACGTTCTAAAGAGCAGGGTCTCAAAATATTTTCTTCATTAAGCAAAAAAATGTCTCATATCCCCACTGCTATTTATGCCCCTCCTGCTTGCGCAGATCTTACTGTAGATAATCAGTAATACTTGCAAATACTGTGTGTGTCCGAGTTTCACTTAAATCACTCCCTTTGCCTGGATCTGCAGCTCAGGCCAGGAATAATGGGAAAACATTCTGGGAAATTCCATCTTACTGTGTTTTTTTTCTGTTGCTATTCAGCTACACTTCTAAATACTATGTATGTCATCATTTCCTTCCAGTGATGCTCTATGTCTTCTGGAGGTGCAAATCGGGGTAGGAATGATGTGGTAACGTCGTGTCAAATGTGTCTACAAATATCTTTAGTCTCTTTATATAAAGACAGTAAATGCGCTATGCATTTCCCCCATAATGCTTGATGTTAGTGATTTTAAGCTGGAAAATTTAGGCAACTGGCTATACATGTACTCTCTGGTTGGATATTGTACATTTTCTGAGTCATGAGTCCTCTTCCAAATTCTTTTAGGTTTCTGAGGTAAACCATCCTCTACTTTATGAGATGGCATTTCAATTCTTTCTTCTCTGCTGTTTTACTGCATATTAGTTTTACGGATTAAGAATTTCAGAGCAGTAGTAACCAGTTCTGGCGCAGACAAACAATATTTTTTTGGACTCTGTTTTGTTGGCAATGCGGGTGGCGCACACCTGCTTTAAATGCAATCACCACACAGCATCCAGCTGGTCCCAGCGCATGTGCAGTGCGGTTTCCATTGCTGTTAGCAGGAGATCCCAGGAGGAGGTGAGTGAGCGGCTCCCGTGCAGAGCAGCCCCTGACACACGCAGCATCCGGACAGAGCATCGCTTCTGCTTTGCTTAAGGAAATCCGTGTTTCCACTAGAAAATGCTGCTTTACTTTTACTAAAGGTGGCCATCTATAAACTGTAGTTTTAGAGGATTGAATGTGAAGTGCTGATTTTTATTTACATTTTCCAATAATTACATAAAGCAGTTAACATATCTATCACCTCATGTACATCTCCCTTTGGGTGAATGTGGACAGGAATTTCATTTTAGTTATCCCTAAAAACAACATGTGAAAGCATTATACCTTCCCATCATTAATGTATGTAATAAGAAACGGGTGCTGTTTAGTATAAAATGCGGTATACCCTCTGGTAAAGATAATGTTTTCCTCCTTCTAGGCGAGATAATATTTTTTTTAAATTATCAAAGTTTTAATGACATACACAGAATTAATTTTTGCATATTTTTCCACTAACAACTAGCTAATATAAACTTTATAAAAACACAAATTTGTTTATTATCTCTATAGTGTTTTACAAAAGAATATTTTAACTCCAAATACCTATTACTTTTCAGAAAACAATTTACTTATCAACACATTAAGGCTCACTGTATGTTGCAAATTTTATTCTTTCAGAGCTCTGCTAAAATATACGGGTACATTTCTATAATTTTACAGTCTATTTTATTTC